TTAAAATCCTTTTCTTATTTTTAAATAGGATTCTTTGTTTTCTTACTGTTGAATCTTTTCAAGATTTTAATGGTATCTTTCAGAGAGCAAATATTTTTAATTTTGATGAAGTCCAATGTTTTAGGTTTTTTCTTTTATGAATCATGCTTTTGATGTCATGGTGAAGAACTCTTTGCTACCCATTTAGGTCATGAAGATTTTCTTCTAAAAATTTTAGAACTTTACACTTAGACTGATGGTAAATTTTGAGGTAATTTTTGTATGGGATACACTATCTTTTCAGTTATTAAGGCCAAAAATTTTGACATTGCATTTGACTTGTCTCTTTCTTTTATACCCTACATCAAAACCATTCAGGAGTTCTGATTCTCTTTTCTCACCAGTTTCACATCTACCACTCTGGCCTAACCCACTATTATCTTTCATCCCATTACTATACATGCCTCCTAATTAATCTCCATATCCCTTCCCTGTCCTGTCCAGTCTATCCTCAATGCAGCAGTAAAAATAACCTTTTAGATACAGAGAATAAGTAGCATAAATGGTAGGTAGAAAATAGACAGGGGGAGGCTAAGAATAGAGTAGGAAAAGTAGAGTCAAAGAACTTATATATATGACCCATGGTTATGAACTACAGGGCGGGGGGGATGCAGCTGGGAGAGGATGTGCAGGGCAGAGGGGAATAAAGGGGGAAAAATGGGATAACTGTAATAGCATAATCAATAAAGTATATTTTAAAATAACCTTTTAAAAGCATAAGAGAGATCAGGTCGCCCTTCCACTAAAAACCCTTCAGTAGCTCCCATTTCTCTACGTGATCTGCACCCTCCCTTCTGTTTCTGGCTACTCATGCTAGGACTTTATCGTCCAATCCCTCCACTACCTCCTCACCGACTTCCTGGTGCTTCTTTGACCATGACAGACATACTTCCACTTTGTACTCTTCATACGGTTGTTCCCTTGATTCAAATGCTCCTCCACCAGACAACCAACCACATGGCTAACTGCCTCATCTCCTTTAAGACTTGACTCAAATACCACCTTTGTGATGAGGTCTATCCTGATCACTCTAACATTTCAACCTGCTACTTGTGACCTACAAGCATTCCTAATCACCCTTATCTTGCTCTAATTTTTATTTTTCCATAGCGGTTACTATCTCCTAATGCATCTCCAAATTTACCTATTTATTATATATTGTCTTATTGTCTGTCTCCACTGCTGCTAGAAAATAACCTCCAAAAAGGGAGAGATCTTCATCTTGTCCACTGACACATCCCGTGCCCTCAGAAGTGCCTGGTAAAAATAGGTATTCATTAAGTCTGTTTCTGAATAATAAAATGCTAGCATTTTGAAACAGTGATTCTCAAAATATGGTCTGCCAACCACTGGGGATTCCCAAATCCTTTCGAGGAACCCACAATGTCAAACCTGTTTTCATAACACTACTAAGATGATAGCTGTCTTCTTCACTAATTGATATTTACACTGATGGTGCAAAGCAATGTGAGTAAAACTGCTGGCACCTTAGCACCAATCAAGACAGTGACACCAAATTATTCTAGCAGTCATTGAATTCTTCATCACCACATGCTCCAGTTTAAAAAAAAAAAAAACAGGTTCACTTAAGAACACCCTTGATAAAGCACTGTAAATGGTTAGTTATCGACCCTTGAGTATACTTCTTTTTAACATTCTATTTTACGACATGGGAAGCACTTATAAAGCACTTCAGTATACCAAAATACAATGGCTCAAGGAAAACAACTATGTCTTTCAGTTGCTAGACAAACTAGACACTTTTTTCATGGAACGCAATGTTGTCTTGAAAAAACACTGACAAGGTATGGTTATTCCGATTTGGGTGCTGGTAGACATTTTTACTTCACACTCTAGTTACTTTAAGAAAAAGAACACAGTGTTTGCTGCTGATTACAAACTCTAACCTTTCAATATAAATTAGAATAATGGGAATGTAATACTTATAGGTTAAGTATTGTAAGCTTCCTAAAACTTACAGATTTTTCTGATCTAACTTCTAATATGGTAAATATAAATAGATGTAGACCACATAAACCAAAGTCCTTTGGGTTTTTCAGTAATGTATAAGGGGTCCCGAAAACAAAAAGTCTGACAACAGATGATTTGTCCCAATAATCATGTGACCCTCCTTGATTTTCCTTACAGCCCCAGCTGCCTCCATGGGTCCATTGCGTAGCAAAACACAGAGCTGTGCACTGCTGCACTGAGAGGCCCCTGGCCCACTGCCTGTCTATAAATCATTTATTTTTGTTGGACAACTAAGGGTTGCTTTGAAGGTGGGGCATCTCTAGCTGAGATCATTGCTTAGTGGGAGCGAGAGGTCCTGGTGATTAGGAGAGAGCAGGAATTTGACACAAAACTCACCACCCCCAAAATAGGCCTTTCAGGTTTCCAAGGCCAGAAATGGTTTTCTGACCAGTTCTTAAAGAAATAGCAAATACCATCTGATTCACTGTACATTATAATATTGCATACCAACATGTGCTTTTCGCATTTGGGATTCACCCCATACCCTAACCCCCAGCCCTGGAAATAAAGTTGTACACAAAAATTAAAATTATAAAAGAATACACACACACTTATTCACTTGCCATTTTCACAAACTTATTTGGAATTGGAGACCAGGAGACAAACATAATAACAATAATGTAATAATTTTCTCTTCTGCAAGGAAATATAAATAGAAGCCACTCTTTTCTCTCAGGGGCATGGTAATGCAAAAGGTCATAATTTTACACATATTCTGGTTTTTAAAAACATCTTCTTAGGTGATAGCAAATCAGTTTCATTGTGTTTAAGGAGATTTTTTAAATCATCAAGCTAAGTTTCTCAAAACAATTTTTTTCTGATACAAACATTTTCTAATTTGCATCTTCAGCTTCTTGCCAGTTCTGAGTATGTATTAGTCAGAACTCTTTCTCTAGCAGGTGCTAGAACCTTACTTAAACTAGACCAAAGAAATACATATTAGCTCAGAAAAATTTACTCAGCAGGTGCTGACACAGAGCTCAAGCATAGCCAGATCCAGGGACTAAAGCTTCAGGACCCTTTGACTCCACTACCTGCCTCTAAATGGTTCATTCTGCAGGTAGTCGCTCCACCTAAGCAGTCAAGATAGTGACCGCAATCATGGCTAGTTTTATATTATCTCAGATTAGCAAATAAGGCAGAAAGAGACCTTCGGTCTGTCAGTATACACAGTTTGTGTGCCCAACCAAATAGTGCACTAAGATTAGTCCAGCCCTGGTCACATGCTGTCTGAAGATTCTTCGTAGAACTAGAACCATTGTACATATACAATATATCACAAACATATATATACACACATATATAGCCACATATACAGTCATACAGCTTCAGAACCTGTGAAACCCTGTACTCATCGCATTTTGACGAGAATAAATGTTTCAGCACTTGGCACTTGCTCAGGACTCATCGCACTTGCCTGAACTTGCATGAGTCATGATGCTGCCCCACAAGAGAAAATGCTTCATCACTAATCACTTACTTGCCACTTGTAGGTTTTTTTAAAGATTTTATTTATTTATGGACTTTTTTTAAAAGACAAGAGAAGGAAAGGAGAAAGAGAAGGAAAGAAACATCAATGTGTGAGAGATACATCAGTCAGTTGATTCTTACACACCCCCAATTGGGAACCTGGCCCACAAGCCAAGCATGTGCCCTGACTGGGAATCAAGTCAGCAGCTTCTGGGTTCACAGACCAGCACTTAATCCATGGAGCCACACCAGCCAGGGCACCACTCATGGTGTTGGCACTTGTCACGGGTTCTGGAACCAATTAACAACAAGTACCAAGGTGCCACTGTATTATATGTGATATTTATCTCTATATGGCATATGGCGATTGATATCATATAGAAGGAGATTTATTATGAGGAATTAGCTCACATTATGATGGAAGCTGAGAAACCCCAAAATGTGCAAGTTGGAGACCAGAAACGCCAGTGGTATAATTCTAATTTGAGTCCACAGCCCTGAGCACCAGGGGAACAAATGGTGTAAATCCCAGTTCAAGAGCAGAAGATTGAAAATGACCTGGCTCAAGCAGGCAAGCAAGAAGGAAATAAATCCTCCTTTCTTCCACTTTTTGTTCTATTCAGGCCCTCGACAATAGAGGACTGCATGATGCCCACCCACACCGAGAAGGGCCACATACTTCACTGAATCTATGGATTCAAATGCTAATCTAACAGACACACCCAGAAATCGTGTTTAATCTGGGCACCTGGTGTCCCAGTCAGGTTGATACATAAAATTAATCATCGCCATGTATGAACCACAGAAAGGGTATGTAGATGTGTAAGACCTCATTACAGACATAGATACACAGTCAAACAAAGTTAGAGAAAGAGAGATCCACAAGAAAAAGATGCTGGCCAAAAAAAAAAAAGCTTCCCAATACAACCTAGGACAGGAACTCTGTTTAATGTACTCTCTGTTCCCACCCACAGCAAAATATCTTATCAACAGTATGGTTTTTATAAGTAGGCAGTGCTTTACTTATATTTTTCAGAATCATTACTCTAGAATTTTAAGAACTGTCTGATTTAAAGGAGCAAATTGATTGACACTAGAAAATCAAACGCTTCTCCTTCATCCCACCCCATCTAACTACTCAAGACAGAAGAAATTACAATTGGCAATAAATTATTATATAAGTAGAGACAGGGAAAGTAGAGATGGACAATTCATTGTCTTATTCAGGAAATAAACCAGAAAAGGCTACATGATGGACCTACTTAATAGTGCTTGAGCTTTTCTTCCAGAAACACTGTATCAGTAGAACAATAAAGAAACATTCACCAGTAGAGTAGAAGGAAGCATAACTGTCTCTTAATTTTGTGAAAGAATTTTAGTCTAAAATAGAACCAGTGGATATGAACAGGAGAATCTCACGCAGGCACCCCGAGGAAAATGAAACTTACTGAGAGACTCACCTTATTTACAGAAAACCAGAAACTTATCTCCTGCCCAATGAAGTTCAGCCAAGAATCTCTCTCCTGTCCTGAAAACAATGAACTCACTGTGCGGGCGCTGGCCGAACTGGTCCACTTTATACTCTTTGCCCATAAATAAAGTTCACCCAAACCCTCCCCCATTCCCCTGTAGCTTGTGTTTCCTGAATTAACATTGCTCTGCTACTCTGAATAAACTCAATTTCTGGTCATCTGCCTGTTTGCGTCTGTATTTAAGTGGACAATTTGTTCTCAAAGCTTGAGTCTACAAATCACAGCGCTGAGAGCAGGGGTCATTCTTCTGCCAAGGTCTCCAGCTACAGAGGACACTACTAGTTCCCCATCTAATCCCCTGACAAGGCCACTTCAGTGTAAGTAGACTGTTAACTAAACAAGGACACCATTAGATCAAGATGGTTTTAATGCCATGGTGGCCTGTGTTATGCTCCAAAGGCCTCAAGGTTATGAAACGAAAACCTAAGGACAACCAACCACACACAACACACAAGGTTTTAAGCTGAAGCCTAGCCCAGGGGTGGCAAACCCACTTTCACCCGGGGGCTACATCAGCCTCCAGGTTGCCTTCAAACAGCGAAATGTAATTTTAGGTCTGTATAAATGCAACTACCCCTTAAGTAGGGACAAGGAGCTCAGCACTGCTGCTGGGTAGAAACAAGGTGCTGGGCCAAATAAAACGAGGTGGAGGGCCAGATTCAGCCCCAGGCCTTGTGTTTGCCACCTGTGGCCTAGCTCACCAGTAATTTTCTTACTATTTCTACCTTTTCTCTATAAACACCTCTCTCAGCACTCCTGCCATGGAATGCTCAGCACCATTTTGAGTTTGGCCCTGGCCAGTTGAATCAATTTGTGCTCAATAAATTCTTAAAATTTTAACAAGCCTCTGTTTTTCCTCCACCTTACCAGGACAGCATTTCTTTACCCGAAATCTATCTTTGGCCACCTCCACACCCCCCACCCACCCACACATGCACCCGTCCGTACGTGCACGCAAGCACGCACGCAAGCACGCAAGCACGCCCTGCATGAACGCAGAACATGCAGAAGTCCTAACACTCCTTCAACATTCTCCACTGACTGGGGGCTTGGGGCTGTGCTGTCCACCGGAGTGCCCAGTGGGCAGAATTTTGATAACACACACTCTTGGCTGCCTTCCCTTCTTTCTCCCGCTTCCCTGCTTGTATTTCCTTCACCTTCCAAATAAACTAAGTCCCCAGGTAACACTGTCCATAGGTTCTGCAACTTTGAGTGAAAGAAGCATAAAGCAATCAACTTTACCATAGATTAATTGATAGAAACAAGTTACACTCCTATAGCATTTCACAAAATGTTAAAACAGCATTGAACACAATGATTTTATTTGAGGAATTGCTGTACTCAGTTGATTTCTTATCGCAGGATCTGCTTCTAGGACAAGAAACAGCGTGAAAGAACCGTGTCTTCAGTGGGCCATTCAAGCTTTTTCTAACTTTGAAGTACACAGATCCTTTTTTCTCCAGCTTTATTAAGGTATAAGTAACTAATAAGAATTGCATATATTTAGGGTAAAAAGTGTGATTTAATATTTGTACATTGTGAAATAATTACCACAATCAAGTTAGTTACCACGTCCATCACCTCACATAGTTACCAGTGTGTGCGCGTTTGTGTGTGTGGTAAGAACACTTCAGATCCACTCCCTTAGCAAATTTCAAGTATATAATACATTATTATAAACTCTAATCACCATGCTGTACATTAAATCCCCATGAATTATTCATCTTATAACCGCAAGTTTGTGAAGTATACAGACCTTAGTTCAATACTGTGCCATGTCTCCAGAAGTCACTCTTTGGTCACTTTGATAAACTGGAAGACCTATGGAACAAAAATAAGAGAAAAAGGCCTATGAATATATCCACTTAACGTCCACACGAAAGCTTTTGGAGTTATCCTTGGACCCCACTGCAAAACCAAAATGCACAAGAATGTAAAGTTAAGTTAGTGAGGGAATAACCAAGGTTATCTGGTTCCTTGTACCTACCCCCAGTCTTCCTATTTGTAAATAAATAGATTAGAAGCAAATGGGCGTGGTAAGGAGGGCAGCGGGGGAGAGAAGAGGCATTAATATGTGGCCCATCATTTAATATATGGCCTCAAGCTGCTTTGTTGCCTATTTTCTAATCTCCTCCTTTGTGTCTGCACTTCAATAAACCTCAAGGGCAGCAACTCCTGGTGAACTGACATGTAATCATCAATCTACAGAATGCATAATTTATATTCTATATGTTCTGCTTAATATGGCAGGAATTCAAGCAATACAGTTTTTTAAAAGTAGTTCATTAGTTAAAAGGAAAAAGGCAGCTCTTGAAGGTATTAGTTTTAGGTGTTCAGAAAACTTATTCTAACATGTCCTTCCCCTCAAAGTCATACAAGCCATTTATATTAGACTCTAAGTTCCTTTACCCTCCATTTCTTAATTAAATATTTTAAAGCCAATTCACAAAGCACTTGTGTTTCACATACAGGGCGGGGCAAAAGTAGCCTTACAGTGTGAGTACAGGTAACAGTTTATTTTTCTATTATTATTAATTATTGTGTATCTTTCCATATGAACTGTAAACCTAGTTTTGCCCCATGCTGTGTAATAAGTATGCATTTAAGTGATGTTTGGCAAATACTATACTAAATGAGCAATTTAAAAACAGAAGCTATTTTACTTACAATTGCTCACCAATAGTCAATATAAATATACAAACAAAAACCTACAATATTGTACTCCTGTCTCAAATAATCATGGACTTTAAAATGTCAATTACCTTCATGGTCCAAGCAGCTCATAAAAATTCATTGTCAGGAAAGAAGTGAAATTAGTGAAGTAAACAATGTGTTATTTGTCTTTTACTTCAATAATCTTAATACCTAATTTTATGAAGGAACTTTTTGGAATATTGATTGCTTTCTTAAGAATCTACTGATTGCCTTAGTACATGCCAGAGGTTCGGTTGGTATTTAAAAATCATAAACAAAGCAACAAACAAGTGTTGGAGAGGTTGCGGAGAAGAGGGGACCCTAATCCGTTGGTGGTAGGATTGCAGACTCATACAACCACTATGGAAAACAGTATGGAATTTTCTCAGAAAACTAAAAATGGACCTGCCTTTTGACCCAGCAATTCCACTGCTGGGATTATATCCTAAGAACCCTAAAACACCAACCCAAAAGAACCTATGCACCCCAATGTTCATAGCAGCACAATTTACAAATAGCCAAGAGTTGGAAGCAACCTAGATGCCTGTCAGCAAATGAATGGATCAAAAAATTATGGTACATATATACAATGGAATTCTATGCAGCAGAAAGAAAGAAGGAGCTACTACCCTTTGCAACAACATGGATGGAAATGGAAAACATTACGCTTAGTGAAATAAGTCAAGTGTTGAAAGACAAATACCATATGATCTCACCTTTAACAGGAAGCTAAACAATAAAACAAACAAGCAAGCAAAATAAAACCAAAAACACTGAAATAGAGAACAGGCTGACAGGGACCAGAGGGGAGAGGGAAGGGAATTTCAGGAGAAAAAGGGGAAGGATTTACAGGAACAAGTATAAAGGACACATAGACAACAACTAAGGGAGGTGGAAATGGGAGGGAGGTAGGGAGCACTGGGAGGGTGGGCTGGGATGGGAGTAAAAGATAGAAAACTGTACTTGAACAATAATTAAATTTTTAAAAAGTGTATAAGAAAGAAAAGCCCCTATAAATTAGTTACAAACCTGAACTTGCAAATTGAATTATTTACTATGGAATAAATAATTCTTACTTTTGCTGAATTTGACAGTCTTTAATTCAATAACCCTCCAGAATCACTTAACACTTAGGGAAAAGGATATTTGACCCAGGTGTCAAAAGCTGTAATTCCATGGATCCAGGGGGCTGCTTCACTCGGGACCCACCTACAGGTGCAGTGGTTTAGTGGTTACCCTGCTACAGCTGAAAACAGTCGGCCTCCCGAAAATGTGGTGGCCCTCTGGGGAGTCACCAACTGTCTGAGCTTTTTTTTTTTAAGAGTTGCCCCTACTCTCAGCTCTGTGATTTGTAGACTTGCATTTTGAAAACAAAGAAATTGAGTTTATTCAGAACAGCAGAGGAATTTCAATTCAGGAAACACAAGCTACTTAAGGATTGGTTGCCTAAGAATATATGTACATAGATCTCCAAAGAACAGAGATTAGAAAGAATATAGGGCAAGTTTATTTAGTTACGAGGAGGGAGTCGTGTGGCCCCTGCACATCTGCATTTTTCCTTATTGCTGTGACCCCATATTTACTTTTTATGCCTTCCTTCCTGTGGGGGTGGATGATTCCACCTGGCTTACACTCTGGTTCCATTTGCCATTGTTTTTTTTTTCTTATTTCATTTTATTTTATTATTTTTATCGAGGTATAATTAACATATCATGTTAGTTTTAGGTATACAACATAATGATTTGATATTTGTATACATTACAAAATGATCATTACAGCAAGTCTAGTTAAACATACATCACCTCATTTTTTTTTCCACACTCCCACCCACCCCAGCCATCCCCGCCTCCCACCCTCAATCCTACCCCTTGTTGGCTTTGTCTAGGAGTCCTTTATACATGTTCCTTGATGACGCTTCCCTCCTTTCCCCACTTTACCCATTGTTCACCTCTTTATCCATGGTTCCAATACAGTAAAGACCCAAAGGGTTCATTTTGCCTTCACCTTCCAGCAAAGGACTACATGTTTCCCTCTTTGACTAATAGTTGTGGTGACATCCCTTAGTCCTGTGAGTACTGACAGGAAAATCCTAAATAAAACATTAGCAAATCAAACCCAACAAAAATAAAAACATATGATACATGACAGCAACTATAGTTTCTAGTATTTACCCAAGAATGAAAACATATGCCCATTAAACAACTTGTATAGGGATGTTAATAACAGTCCAAATATCTATTCACAGGTGAATAAATAAATCGTTATATATTTACACAATGAAATACCATTCAACATTTAAAAAGAACAAATTACTCAGAAACATAGTAACATGATGAATTTCACAAACCTTACACTGGGGAAAAGTGGCC